TTGTTGTTGATCAATCCATTCTAAGATGTAAACAAAAGCTGAAAGCTTTCAAAAGCGAATGTTTTTGTCTTAACTGCCTATGCTTATCTCATGTTTAATTTCGTCATACCATATTCTATTTCGTAGGAGGATTATCCGCGTCAAGCTCCATTATGGTTCAGCGAATCTGACGATGCTGTGATTTGCTCTGCTTTGGAGCGTCTTTCATCAGGGGGTGATCATCAGACTTGCTTACTCGCGCAGGTCAGTTTTAATATTCTAACACTGATTGTTTATTTGTTATCCATTCCTTACTTTTGATTGCTGATTGCTGCAGCAATGTAGCTTTAGTTGATTTCTACTTACAACTACATTTTTCTATAAAAAAGTTTTTAATGAAGCTTAGTAGTTCGACAGATTGTTTTTGGTCTCGACATTTGCTTAAAAATTAGAACAAAGTTTGGCATACTGACTCAAACAAACGATTCCTTTCATGCAGTCAATGTTCTCAATCTCATGTTTAGAGATTTTGTATAATCTTTGAGTTAGGCGTTGTGTAATCCTTTCAAAGAAAGAGCTGAACTTTGATGCCGTTTTAAATAGATGTAAGTGGAGCATTTGATATCATAAATAACACTTTTTGTTCCGCTATTCGAAAATCGAAAATACTTGTTATTGTCGAGGATTCTTTGAGATTTTCCTGTGCATTTTCGTTGTTATTAGAATAATTGTTATAGAATGATTTGTATCGTCTTAAATTCAGATTCATAAGCTTGTATCTGAGTTATGTCGTCAGTACAACGTTACTATCCCCTCGGAACTTACTCGTTTGGCACCTCCGGACGAAGACGATATGAAGGATGAGGGACAAGGAAGCGACATGGAGTCAGAAGATGAAGGGGAAGAATTGGTGGAGGTGCATTTCTTGCCTCCCTATGTTTCTATGTATGTTTTTGTCGGGTGTGCTCATTTTTTATTTTTCATTTTCATCCAGATTGCCGAAGTTGATATGACTGAGGAAGAGCCACATGGTAGCACAGATGACGATGTTTCACCTGAGGGAAAGGAAATGCTTGAAAAAATCACGCGTTCTACTCGTCAGC